AGCCTGAGATTAATCTTCTTAAAGAATATTTAAGAGGTGGATTATTGGGATTAAGTACAGAAAATCCTCATTTCTTAATTGGGACATTAAATTTTAATATTCGAATTTTTTCCTTAAAACTATACAATTTTTAAAACTATTTTTTCAATTGTAATTTTTAAAGAAAGGATTCGAGAATTTAACGATTTTATGGCCACTCTGTGTTTATATATTATAAGTATATACTTGTAGGACCTACATTCGAAATGAAAAGAGATGTAGATTCATTTCTTAATGTATTTACGCAGAATTTATTTGTTGAACTTATAAAATATTTTATTAAACATTAAAAAAAATTTTATTACTTAGTTTAAATTAACTCAAAAAGTAACTAAAGTTACTTATAAAGCCTGAGTAAGATGAGGCTCAGACTAGCAACGAATGTGAAATCTCATCTCTTTCTGAAAGCCATAAAAATTCATGACAAATTCATATCAATGAAAAATAATTCGATTATCGAAATCATTTCAAATATCTGGAATTATTTTGAATCATTCGGATGATTTACCTCGCTCCTTTTCGTACTTTTTAGCCTCATAAAAAGAAAAATTCGCCCATAAAGTTGCAAAAATCTCTTAGCCTACAATCGAAATTTCACATAAAAGTTATTTTCGCCTGTAAAATATTTCCTCTCTTCCACAAATAGGCGATTTTTTCCATTGGGAAACAGGTACCAGATATCAAGTGGTGCCTTATCCCTTATGAAAAAGTTCCCACCAGTGGAAAAGTGGATAAAACCACTAAAACACTGGTTGTGTCCGAGTTCATGCCTCACTAACGGGCTGGGCACTTGCAGTTTTTCGGGTTTTATTCACGTCTAACACCTAAATAGGAGTCAGTTTTCCATATAAAGTCCTCCCGGAAGGCATCCTTCTTGACAGATCACTCACACGTTACATTATCTTATCCCACCACCCCATTCTACTTGTAGAAAAACAATGACTAATTAAGAGACATTTAGATTGTCTGTCATGATTCGTTCTTATGGTAGACATTTGATAACAATTTCAGATTTTAAGCATATTTAAATAAAAACATTTTTACGATTTAGTAAATTTAAAAATTAACGTAATATATTAAATAAACAAGTCACTTTTTAATTAATTTAAAGCACTACATTATAAATAATGGAATTTTAGAAACTAAGGATGTCCACGTTTTTATGCTTAATTTAGAAAAAAGTAAAACAATTACATAATTTTAGCATTAAACTGAGAAATTGCAAGAATTTAGTTGAAAAAAGTAATTTTACAGATTTGAATGGTTCATTCGAGTGACGAATGAACCATTCAAATCTCGATATAGTTATCGTTCGATTATGAAAATGGTTTAAATCAGCGATGAGCAAACTTTTCAGCATAAGAACCCATGCCCATACGGGCGAGCAGCATACATTTTTTCTTACGGAGTTGCAGGCTTTTAAGCCTGCCATGAAAAACATTTTGAAGTATATTGGTATTCCAACATACTTCATAAATAGGTAATAAAATAATATATGTAATATATTCTAATATTATGTAAACTAGTAATATTCAGTTTATTCTAATCTTTTTTACTGGTCAAGTTTAGTTTTGTTGTTCTTCATTATAAATATCAGCTTAATTAGGATTGCATAATGACACGAGATAGAAAATAGGAAAATAAAATTACGTTATAAAAGCCCCAAGGGCAGTAAGCGCTCGGGGAGCCGCGGGTTGCTCTTTATTACTTTAAATGAATTTATCACTAATATATAAAAAAAGTCAATAAAATAAAACAAAAACAGATTTTTAAAATCACTATTGAAAAGAAAATTCATATAAAACATTAAATTTTGGGTCTCTTTGTGTGAGACACTAGGTGCAGTGCCAATAGAGCACTAGTCAAACTGGATCTGTAGGCTATACATATTCGCTAAACTTAAATTATTTTCTCTTAAAAATATTAAATATATATATCAGAAAAAAATAATATTGTATTTTAAATAAAAGAAAACAATGTTTAAAGGAGTGAGAGTAGTTAATTAAACTACAAGACATTAATGAAAGTTGCAAAATATTTATGTAAATATAAAAACACCTTACTTTACAAAAAACATGTTCCGAATTCGAACACAATTTACCTGACGAGGGCTCATAAATAGAGCAGAAAAACTTAAATACCCCAGTGGTAAGGTGTTTTTTATATTTAGTTGAAATAAGAGCTGGGTTAGAATATATTGTTAAAATATTCATGTTTAATATATAATTTTTTTGGTATATTAAATCAAAAAATTGTATGTAAGTTTGTAGTTTTTAAATTGCATTTACGAAAAAATAAGCTATAAAAAATATTATTAAATTGAAAGTGAGATTAATTTACTCAACTATAAATAGAAAATATATCTCTCTACAGGAAAATCAAACTTAATTAAATCTTTAAGAAATATTTTAAACATAAAAAAAGAAAATATTTTTTCAGGAGTCAATAAAAGACGAAAAACTCTGCAGGGATTTTCTTTGGTTTAACTTCACGTTGTAAGGTTTATGTTATTTCTTTCAAAAAAAGGAGAGAAAATTAAAGTTTTGGGAATAAATATCTTTAAATCAAGCTTTATCTGATAAAATCACATTTTAACTTTTCACATTTAAATGAGAAATTGAATGGGTAATCTAAATTACATCGGTTGTAATTTACACCACGTTGCATTTGATACAAATATGATCAATAACGATGTATAGAAAACCGATAGCTTCTGTTCTTTCGGAGCAGATCAGTGTAGTGATTATTCTCTTATCCAGATTACATAAGGACATCTATTCTTCTATACATCTGTGTTCTGTGGTCTGGAAGGAAATGATAACAAATCTTTTAATAATTCTACTGTATTTGTTGGAACATTTTTAGGTACAGATAACCTGGATTTCTGCCTAGGGCCTTATGTTTTTACGGGCCTCAGTCTTGATGCAGTATTAGAAATCCATACTAAAAAGGATCTAAAGCGTTGTACAAAATCAATTAACGTGAGATAAGGACTTTATACAAACTTAAAGATGCTTCCCGAGTTCACGCTTATTTAACACTTCACACAACAAATAAACCTTATTGATTATACTCCTACGAAAATAAAATTGAATTATTTATTCATTACACGACCTTGTATGAAAGGTATTAAATATCAAAAATTTACAAGTATAAAATATCGTAAATTTGAATAATTTTTCTCTTTTATTCGCGGAACATTTACGGGCCCCGGGATCCCTGATCTATTGCTTCTGTAATGTTCGCGATTCTCCACATTAGAGAGGTTGCGCCGAAGTTTTTATCTCTAAAACGTGAATGTCGACCGTCGAGCACTGTTGTGTTGTAAGCGACGCTCGACATACGACGTTCACGTTTTAGAGATGAAATTGGCCGCAACCTCGCAATTATCACTTGAGATTATATAACTTGAATTCACAGACTTTATAATTAAAACTTTATTATACAGATTTTGAGCTCTTCGGGCCGAAATCTAGGGCTACAGCCCAGGCTTCCTTTTGTCGGCACTGTTTATTCGTAAGTAATAATTAAAATAGAATTACAATATACGAAATTAATGTTTTGTAATTGCTACGTGAGTAAAAACCAAAATAAAAACAAACCAACTTCCTGAAGACGACCATTTTTTTAATAGACTATTAATTAAATGAAAAGAAAATGAAATCATTTTTAACAATCTAAATATAATAATAATAAAATCTTTGATAAGGAAAATATTAAATTTGATATTTAATATCTAATGTTATCTATATTACAACATTAGCACAAGTTCAATCAATCTTTTAGACACGTTTATGACAGATTATTGATTTTATACGTTACTTTTCCGACCTGTTGATCGCCTGACGTTGAAAAATGACAGATCTCATCGTGATAACGGTTAAAAATCATTCAGTTTTTTTTTGCAACGATCTCAAATGTTTAAGAATTGTACAAATGTCATTATCATGTCTGAATATTATTTTAAACATTTGTACTATGGTGAACATCTGTGATGTATTATATTCGATATTTCACTGGTTACTATAGAGATTGCTCCGTAATGAGTTAGCCTATATATCGAATACAATTCAACAGGCTATTTTATTACATACGCATTCGCACCATTCGTGTACATTTTTTGATTAATCGTTTATAAGTAAGCATTGCAATAAATATTTTTAATACCTTAAAACTGAATAAAATTTTAAACTTTTTAAAATTAAAAATAAATATTCTTTGTGAAAGTTTTAGACTTTGTTGACAGATGGCAGCACAGTCGTCATTATTAATACTATTGCCAATTATAATTATGTTTAATATTTTTTAAATTTACATTTATATTTTTGGTGTTCGTAATTTAACTTCTACAGTAATTTGAAGTTGTTAATTGCCTTGCTAACTAATTATGAATTAATTAACATTCAGTTTATTGGGTTTGTCTAATTAAATAACGATTGGACCATTTCCTTAATGAACTTGTTTGATTGTGAGCCTAAAAAATAAAGACAAATTGTGACATTAAAAAACTCAATTTAGTGCATTTTGTATCATTTTTTATTGCTAAAATTCCAGAGTAAAATATTATAGAACCGTAACTGTGCCTTACTGTATTTCGACCTTCATTGTTTAATTCATTATCATAATAAAACACACTCGAGATGGAGGGGCGAAACTATCACGAAACTTCTCCAATAAACACCCTTATCGATTTTAGTAAATTAACTTAACATTTAATCCACATTTCTATCGAAAATTCAATTATCTTTTAAAAATATTCAAATTTTAAGCGGTTTATAAACAATTAAATAGACTATTATTATTAACAAAGAAAATAAATTGCTATTAAAAATGATAATTTATAAACGCCCAATTTAAATTATGTTTAAAAATATAGTGGCAAGATTTAAAAAAAAAACATGGCGGAAAATGCTATCATAGTAACAATGGAGAAGAGAGGAATATAAGAAAGAAAAACTCACCTCTGCCCATCGTCTCCGTAAGCAAAGTCACCTAATATAAGATCTCTTAACCGATATCTCGGTGGTAAAGGAGGCACTGCGCTGTTATTGTTTTGGTTATTCATGTTGGCTATGGTTGTATGTGCTATCTTTGAAATCGGCTTTTGTAACTGCAACACCGGTTGCTGATTATGGTCTCTACGCCATGCTTCCACTGGTGTGTATGGTCTTGCAGCTGACTCGCGTACCCAAGGCATTTGACGATAGGATGAACCTATTTATGGATAAATATTAGTGGGTTGGGTTCGTTTGCATAATATATATTATGCTACAGTACTTAAATACATACTGAATTAATAATTTACATATATATATATATATAGAATCGCATATGTTTCTACAACAGGTGTTTTTAATTTTTCAATATTCAAATATATGAAAACATGTACTGTATTTATAAATTGTAGAACAGTGGCATGTACTGTACAATTTATATAAATAAAGCTTATTAAAATATTATAAGCTTTAAAACTTTAATTCTATTTTAAAGTTTATATAATAAAGTACGATATACTACTTTCTTTTATCACAAGTTTCTAGATATTCCTTTATATATTATTAAGTATAAAAGACTTAACAGACTACTTTTAAGCCGAAAGATATTGTTTTTACCTTAAATATAAACGTTTGATAGGATAAAATTTGATGTCAAACCTACTCAAATAATACATCACAATGATATTTCTGTTATCTCAATTTTGAAAATGTTTTCAAAAGTATCAATTTATAGACCCGAGTATAAGATAATAAAGAAAATACCTTAAAAGAAAACAAAATGAATACAAAAATCTCATGGTTAGGGATGTAGGCCTATATATTAATATTTAGATTAAATTATTTAAAGGAAAATGTATCTTTGATAAAAATACAGAAATATTTTTTTTCTTTCTGTATTTTTGTGTAAAATGTGAAGATAAGTAGATTTTCAATCCATAAATCGATATGAAATTTTATAAAGAAGATATTTTATTGTAACTGCAGTTTCTACTTAGATAAAAATATCTTATTTTGATTTTAAAAATAATCATTGTTTTCATTGTCAATTTTATTTTACCTGTATTAAAAGTATTTACATTATTTTGATTAAAAATATTATAATTAAATTTGAAAAAATTATATATTATATTCGGCAGCATTTTTAATTTGTAAGAATTAGGATCCGAGAGGAGTATGTGGACCAGACTAGTCATGAATTTTCTGAAAACCATAAAAAATGTATAAATAATATCACTAAAACAGATTTTTCATCGTTTATCAAAAAAAGTCTAATTTATATCACTTTAGTATCGTGTTTTTTTTTTTCGAATATAATAATTTCGAAAAGAATAAATTCGGGGAGTTTTTCTGCCTCGCGGGACTCGAGCCAAATGGACCCGCCGACTCCCTTCTATTCGGTCCTAGAATAATATAACAGTCAAATTTACATTAGAATACAAGTTACACTTAAATCATAACTATAAATTTCACTTTAAATTAGAAATTCAGAACTATCATTTTAGGTTTTAAATAATAAATTTAAAGCGTTAGACTTTATAAATTTAGTTTTTAGCATACTGTAGTTTATTTATACAATATTTTATATTTTATACCTGTAAAATAATAATTTATTCTGCTGAATTTAATTTTTTAAATATTATTTACTGATTTATTAATTAAAATTGATGATGGTTATTAACTTATTATTGTAAATTGATATATTAGAAGCTTGAATAACGAAAAAAAAACACTTGATTATTTGCATTATATAAGGGAAAAAAAGATAATAAGCATTTTTTTTCAGAATCAATTAATGTAATTACATATTTATTATCTAATTAATACAAAATATAATGTTAACAATCAATAAAGAATATTTAAAGCAACGTTTGACATACATTTATAATTCATTCGTAACAGTAACCGGATATTAACAAAACAGGAGTAAATTTTCATAAATAAATAATATATTTCAGATATTTTGTTTAATTTAATTCAAATTGTAAATTTGTAAATAATTGATTTTTCTTCGATGCTGTGAAGAAATATTTGAATATTCTCTGGCTGTTTTTGTTTTGAATTTACTAAATAATCTACATTACAATGAGCTAACTTTTTTTATTAACTTGTTTGAAATCAATAATAAAGTTTTCGATTTTCTTTTCCAAAATTTTAATTAAAAGATAATATTTTAAGTATCTGAGTAATTCTTAGAAATTATTTGGGAAGATTTGGAAACAGAATCCATTTTTATTTTTAACATATCTTGCAATATTTTAAAATAGTCGGTCTACAAATATCAGAAAGTGTTTATAATATTATTTAGCCAAATGTTTCTGTTTTTAAACATATTAAAAACATGGGAAATAAACTGTATCATTTAATGAGCAAAATAGGAAAGAATAGAATCAAAACTCCCCATTTTCAGGAAGAAAAAAAGTTCGATATTATTATCAATTTTAATTCTTCCAATTATTCTTATACGCTTGTATTTAAAGTCAACCATTATTTTTGGAAAGAGAATAGTATTAATAATACGAAGATTATATTATCTTTCGCAGGTTTCATGTTACATACAGTATATAAATTTCAAACTATTTAAATCAATTTTCTATATTATAAAACAATTTTGCAAACGATTATTTTTCGTACGTTGATTTGTTTTTAAGCAGATTTCAAGTCGATATATTACTTTTTCTTATTACTGTAATAAATAATTCTAACATGCATGTGATAATCTATCTTTAACATCATTTTTCTAGAGATAACCTTTATCCAGATTTTATTTATAGAGAACGATTCTGTATCCTGAATTTTTTTAAAATATTCATTCTTTATCCTGATATTTCTAAGTATAATTATTTTTTAATTCGATTTTTCTTATAAAGCTAACCATCTCGATTTTCTATTGAAACCGTTTCTAAGAGTGAGCATTACTACCATAGCAACCATATTTTTTTCCCTAAACTTTCAGTTTATATAGAATTTCTACTAACCAGAATTATTGAATTAATTTTTCTCAGAAATTAATATATGCTATTACTTATATAATGGGAAATTCACTTTCTTTTCTCTAATATAATTATGTTTTGCGTAACGTGGATTTTTATATACAAAAATAATAAAAGTTCATTTTAAGGTCATTTGATTCATTATATTTCGCGTGATTCATAAATATTATGAGAATTTAACTTGTTTTCGCTGTTTCCAGAGCAAGACAAACGTCATCTTATAATACTGAACGTTATACTACTCAAAAAATATTAATTTTACCTGTTGTAATTTCAAATTTATACAAGAATATTTAGTAGAAATTAAACTAAACGAAATACGCATTTCATCCGATGCTAAAAATGAATATTTTATTAGTATAATACTGTTTGTATATTGATTTCCAAAACTTCAAAATCTCGATATTCATAATTTCCAGAATGAATTATTTATATTGTTTATATTGAATTATTGGAAAGTGAATTGTTTATTATGATCATCATTATAATTAATTTTGAAGAATGGAAGATAATGATGTCAATATTTTAAAAAATATATTGCATAAACAAAACACGGAAGTTTGTGTATCGATTCATTTAAAAGTAGTATTATTAATTTACAGATTAAGTTTAACCTACATTGAGTCGAGTATGATACTAAAGGACGGATTATCTACCAGCTTGCAGTTTCTTACGAAATTATTTTAGTGAATTCTCATTCATTAGCTCAAATGAAAAGTTTTTCCAATAAAAAAAGTAACAATATAACGCATTAATATATTAAACTGAGTCGAAAAAAATCACATTAACGCTATTATAGAAGATAGCGTTATTTTTAGCTACAAAGGTGCAATTTACAGCTGTATTTTCTTCCTATTTTACCTTGGAATTCCACTTTTATATATTTTAAACAAATATTTTAAATATTTATAAGCATTTTTATTTTATATTTAACACAATCTACGCACATTATCCACTAAGAACAATCTTACAAGCTCTCTATATAATTAGTATACTTTATATATATATAATTCTTCACCTTCTAATAATGTGATTATATTATAAGAAAATCAAGAATTATATCCGCAGTAAATTTTTAAATCAATTGCTATATTTAACAATCAAAATCTTAAAAATAAAATTAAAACAAATACTGTTAAAACTAGTCACCTTCTACTCACTTCCAAGAATATTCATTTAAATTGTTGTGAATATGCTGTTTTTTGACAATGTAGATAGCATATTTTAAATATCTTTTTAATTGTACGATAAAAATGCAAATCATCGCTAATTGCTGTAGATCTACAACGACAAAAATACCTATACATTCGATGAACATAATATAAAAATAACTATAGATTTTTCAGTTTGAAATAATATTGTTTATGCTAATTGTTTCCTGAAATTCGTAGTAAAGTGAGTCGTTCTTGATCCCATAAGATCAGCACCATAAGTGAGATTATATTCGTGGAAAAGGAATTTTAACCATATAAAATCATAGAGAGATGACACAAAAGTATTCCCATAATAAGCGAACTAATGGCCAATGGTGGGCTTATTTAAATGAAGTAGATAAAACCACTGACCAAAAGGATGATCACGTAGACTTTTCCTAGTTATCTTAGGTGTTTATAACACATAAATAGAAACCATTTTACCACAGAAGTCCTCTCGGGAGGTCTCCTTGACAGATCACACAAAGTATTGAGTTGTCTTATTGGGATGCAATTTGAAAAAATTTGTAGACCTATAAATTCCCACTGTCGTCCGTCTGTTCATCTGGCTTTCCTTAATCTCGAGAAGGGAATTAGATAAGTAAAATTCGAAACCAGATATGGAAACTTTAGGGGCAGGAGAACCCGATTAACTACATACGAACGTCTAACTGAAAGTCACGTTATTTCAATTAAAATGTTTCCCCTGAAAGCAGTTAATAGACGATCGTCACTACTCGCCTTGTTAAAGGAAAAGTATGATGTACAGGGGAGAGACACTACAGTACTAATTTGAGGTAGAGAGCATATATTTTAAATGAAATAAATTATAAAAATATGATTAAAAATTGCAGCCCGGCATTGTGACGATGTCACAATAAATAATCGCTCGTTTCCTCAATACAATCAAATTCAATCAGTATTTCAACATTCACAAGATATCAATGGTAAAAGATAATGCTTTCAAGCTATTGATAGTAAAACAAAATTATCTGTATCTACTTATTTTCAATTTCTCAAGTTGAATGATGTTT